CTGTAGATCACAACTGTGATGCGGTTGCAGTGTCCTGCACTGAGGACTCTCTTAAACCTGTGGCTACAAAGGTGTGGTGGTGAGATGGATGTGTCATGACCTATGTTTGTGTTGACTTTTTCTTGAAGGAAAAGGAATTTGTCAAGCAGGAGACCTTGTAAGTGCAAATGTTCTTTCAGGGGTTTTATTTTCTAATGTTAATTTAGTATTTTTATGAATAAAGAGGATTTTATTTCTTTGGCAGGTGTCTTGGTAACTGGACTTCTTCAGAGGAAAAAAGATGAAAAATAGGCTTGGCTCACCAATCGCTGATTCATTAATGTCATCTCAGTGTCCCCATGTGAAAGAAAAAGTAACTTTCTGCCTTGACTTCAGGTAAGTGCCTGTTATATACCATACCTCACCTGCCAAACTTTGGGAGAATCTAAGAAAATGACAGTGTAAGTCGGTAATTAATTTCAAAAGAGTGGCAAATTTTGGTCATGTGCAAGGCAAGAGGTGCTTTACTTTAGGCTATCTCAGATCAGAGAAACTCTTTCCAGCTAAACAGGGGGGCCACAGCCCTTTTCTGGAGTCTGATGTGTCATCAGGTGCAGACCATACAGAGAGGGCTATCTGTAGCCAGGAATGCTGATGGGTGCAGAGCACAAACCTGCCTGGAGCCCAAGGCACTGTCAGCTGCTGAGAACATAGTGCCTGTAGGCAGTCAGGCTAGATGATCCTTGTAGGACCTTCCAATTGAACTAAGCTGATGAGAAGCATCCCATGGTTCCTCAGCTGTCAGAGACAAAAGACACCAATGTGTCCTTCCTGTGGCTGCTGGTCAAGGTAGGCAGGTCAGACCACATTTTGCTCAGGACACAGATGGGGAATATATTGATTCCAAGCTGTCGATTGTTCTATTAAAGGATTTCTAGTACTTTGTTATTGTTACGAAGGAATGCCTGGCAGCTGAATGAACTAGATCCTTGGGCGTAATCAGTGGAGGACACCTAGAGAAAATGAGATACAGCAGTCAGATTATGGTCCTTCCTTTTATGGTTTTTAAATTCCAGTGATTTGAGTCAGGAAATTGTTGGATCACAAAGCTGAMTCATTGTGTTTAAGAGCTCTGTGTGGCATTTTCTTCCAGAAAACTGATTATTCCATTTGAATGTGCAAAGTATTTGACATTTTATATACCTTGAGCAGAGTCATGTACCTGACCTCTTTACTATATGTCAGTATTTTCTTGTGTTTATTTTAAATCTGTTTGAAGTCCCCTAGTTAYTGTATGAGGAGAAACAGTGAACACTGTTTTCCTGTTCACTCTCACTACTCCACATGATACTCTTTAGACCCCTATCCCTTCCTCTACACCTTTGTCAGTCTGTACAATCCTGTCTATTTGGGCATCCCCTACATTAAAGCTGCTTTGTTCCTTTGATCAGCTGTGCTGCTTCTTTCAGGACATTTGCTCTTCTTCTGTATAAGCTTTGAGGTGGGCAAATGGATCAGAATTTAATACAATATTCAGGATGCAGGTGTAATGTACATTAATACTTTCTTTTGCTTTTCTGTTCTCTTTGCAAGTAGTTTCTAGAATTCCTCTTGCTTTCTTTTGCTTTTCTGTTCTCTTTGCAAGTAGTTTCTAGAATTCCTCTTGGATTGTTTTTTTGACTGCTCCTGAGTTGATACTTTCACAGGAGACTCTGCCCCAATCTTTATTCCTGAAAGGAATAACAACTCATCTTCTGACACCTAGCGGGTAGGGCTAGGGCTGGGTTTTTTTTAATGTGTGTCTCTTTATACTTTTTAATTCCAAAGTTCCTCAGTTGTTTTATTACATAGTATCTCAATATTGTGTTTCTGCAACATGCTGTAATTTTTCTGTCTACTGTGATAACTAGACAGTTATTGCATAAATGTCATCTTAGTATTTATTTTTTCCAGACAGTACCACTACCAGTATTTATTTTTTCAATTTATGAATATGGCAGAGACTCCTGTGAGATAATAAGCTGGCTTCAGAGAAAGTGTTATAATTTATTTGTTTTATTTGCTTGTTCCAAATGGGTTAGTTTTTTCTAAAAGCACCATTATGTTTTAATATTGAAGGATCACTACTAATCATTAATAATTAATCAATATACAATTAAATATGCTATTTAATTATGTTTTAGCTTTAGCCTTCTTCAAGGCTTTGTTTGTTTTTGTTTTGTTTTGACAGGCAGGGTGCATTTGCTCTGAGACTAACATAATGTCTTCAAATGGTCTCTCTGTCTCAAGAAAACATGCACTTTAAGGTTCCTCGTTAAGAGGAATTTTAGAATTTTATGGGATTCCTGTCTTTGAAATTCAGCATGGCACTAGTTGATCTGGTATTGGGTGTCGGTAGAAATGCTGAATCTGATGCCGATATAGTTCAGACAGTAAGATGATGAACTGATTGTTCATACTGGTCAGGACTGAATTGAGAGTTGCTTCCCATTTTGGRGATTTCCTAGCTGCCTGTTCCTGAAACAGTAATTTAGAGCATCTAGAAATCCAGTATTATCTGAGAGAGCAATGTAAAAGGTTTCACATTTTACTTCAGAGTAATTAAAATAATTGGAATGTTAGTTCCTGGGATTTCTACATTCCATTGCCTTTCTGCCGCCATGTTTCCTTTATACCTGCAGTGTCTGAGTCCTTTTTTAGGGTAAGCATTCTGGGTCTGTGCTGTCAATGTTTTAGAGAATTCTGTGGAGCATGGAAAGCATTGTTTAGTCTTTCTGTCACTGTATCCTGTTCATATCAGACTTTTAAAAACTCTTTTTGTTTACTATGTTGCTTTTGTGTAACTTCTATACTGTACTCTACTTGAGCTTGCAGTGCTGAATGATAGGATTCAGAATAGGATACATTATTTCCTGTGTACCTAGGCACTGGTCTGCTTTCTCCATCTTGTCCGTTTGAAGCTTGTGTATAGTCTTTCCTATGTGAAGTGCAGATCCTGTTTCCCTCTCACTTCAGGTAGAAATTTGGTCATCCTTTGCTGGGCTTAATCATCCCTTGAAACTCCCCAGTCCCTGATGAACCTCAGCCTCACTTCCTTACTCCATTGCTTTAGCCATTCATTGAGACTTTGTCTCCTCACTAGCTGGGTTATAGTGGAGTTCTTGATCTTTGCCATTTTATGTTCAGCCTCCAGAACCTTTCTTTTTTTCTTTCARGTGGTACCCAGATAGGCTACAACCCCTGCCTCCCTCCCAGCATTTCCCAACTTTTCCAGGCTTTTAAAAAGGTTTTGCAGTGTAGCACCAAATGGCACATAAGAAGAGTGTGTCTGGAATCAGGAGCTAAAATTGTTTGCTAGCTGGCAATGGAACCACTTGTGGCTATTTCATATCCCTTTTTCTTAGCTGGGCTTTCTGCTGCAGGGAGGTATTGCCAGTAAAAGAAGATACTCAGAGTGCAGAGAGGGGACCATTCACCAGAATTATTACTTTCTTTATCAGTTTAATGCCTTCCTGCTGTGAAATTAGGGCTGGAGGAGCTTCACAGTTCCCTAAAAAAGCATCCTCAGTTTAACTTCTTTCTTTAAGCAGCGGTAGATTTTTTTTTTTGCTGTAGGTGAGACTGTGAAGGGGTTGCCATGAGGGCTGTGTGGTTTGTACATCCACCTGTGGCACAATCAAGTCACAAGAAAGAGCCCAGTGTCTGAGGATCACGGGGTGCCTGGAACAAGTGTCTTTGCACCACCTACACACAGGTCAGGTGACACTTGATACTTTACCCTGGAAATTGTCACCCTCTAGCTAGGCTTCTGATTGCATTTCTCTTGCACACCTCGACTGACTCAGGTATTCCTATATGAGATGGCAATACTGCTTCCAGTTAAAGAATTGAGAAGCAATTACATTAAATGTGTCATTAACAACTGTATTCATCATGTTTTGTAACAAATTATGCTAAGACATTGACTAAATCCAAATTAGGAGAAGCTGAGGATTACCTTTAGCTTACACTTCGTTCAAAAGAAGCTGAAATTCTCCGAAAGRCAGTCTTCCTGTTACTTGACCATGGACTTGATGTAAGGTGGAAGGAAGAACTCCAGCCATGCTAGCTCTCAGTGTGTTACTAAACCAGTGATCCCTGAGCTGCAGAGGGGTCAAAYAAAGGTCATTAAGGTGGAGGAAAAGAGTCCCTAGAGGTTAGAAAGTTTATTGCAGCAAAGCAAAGAAAATATGTGCCACACACGTATCTTGTTCTGAGGTCTGTCTTCTTTATTTTCCTTCTCAAACAAGTCTGTGTGTTGGGGCTATGTGGTCACACACATCTTCTATCAAGTTTAGTGATASTGAGAAAATTTAAAATTGAAAAAGGGTTTGCCAAGGAAAGATTGAGAAATGCTACTCTATGCTAGAGTTTGTGCTTGTGTTGATTAATTGCCAGCTAACTTGCTGTCACTAGCACAAGTAGAACTTCTTATTTAAACCTGAAAAATATTTGTATCACAAATGTTTATCACATTGAAGAATTTTTCCRGGGCGGAAATGTGTGTGTAGCTAGGTGACCACAATTAAAATTATAGTCTAAGGAGTTAAAGAAGAACAAAAAAATTGAATTTAGCTGTTGTTAGGAGGGCAAATTCTTGTCTGGCCAAATGACCAATTTCAAGGCAGTTCAAGGGAGTTAAGATTCTGCATAAATTTTTCAGCTCCATACCTGGCCTAGAACTGAACATTGTCTCTTAAACATGCACTTTTTCTGCATAGGTCCTTCCCATAATTTCTGATTATAATAATATAATAGTATAATTCTTAATTATACCAAAGAAGGAAATAAACCCTGCGTCCTTGCAAAATTTTCATCGCTCTTCTGATTTGGGGTGTTGCAGGGTGTAGCTAATGCTCTCAAAAGGCTTCGGGATTCCTGGATGAAAGGTGTGATGAAAGAAGTGTATTGTTATTGTTTTAGGGGAGGAATCATGCTACTGGGTAAGCCTCTGTCACTGAGACYTGCTGGACTTGTTTGTTCTGACTTGCCTATGACTCCTTTCTTTCTTAATTCGGGAGATAAAGCCTCAAGTCTATGCTGTGATGCTGCAGAGTGTGTTGTGGTGTTCAGGACGGTGCATCTCCCTGAGAGAAGAGCTTCTTGTCAACCTCTCAGTGGTACCCAGAGGTGAGTGCCACAGGCTTCTGGCTTTCTCCTTGCTGTTTTGGGCAGCATGGCTACATTGTGTCTAGATTTATAGGGTAGTTTGAGCTTTGAGGGTGTGGGGAGAATGGCGCTGTTCTGAGCTTGCTTCTGGTTTGATCTGTCTTTCGTGCATCAGTAATCCTGGTATTTCAGTCTTTCTYCTCACCCAAAATGCATTTGTTTTCTGAGAATTCTCCAGTTTATCTGCAACATGATATAGCAAATCAAGGAGGCCTATGGGGAGAGCARATGAGAATCATCTCACTGTGCCTTACACTGACCTACCATTTGTGCTAGTGCAGTCAGAATGTGTTACGGGCACAACTGCTGAACCAGAGGACAAAAGGAGTACAGTTGGTAAAAGTAGCTTCTTATATTTTTGTTTATTTTCATGGACTTTATATGCAGCCAGTGAAGTGTTAATCTGTGCAGAATCAGCTTGGAAACACACCAAATCTGGCACCTGACCATTTCRCCCGCCCTGTGTTGGAATGAAAATCAAACTGAAAACCCACAGAGACTATAACTGCTTGTGTGGTGTCTTGCTTTTGGAATAGAATTCAAGAAGTCAAAGAAGGACARAGGGAGGCAGGCAGAGCGATTTTTGAAGTCTGAAAAGCAGAGGTCTACTGCTGAAATCTGTGACTGCCAAACTAACAGAACAAGATACTTGTCTGTGACCAACACAGCTGTAAGGGGAAATCTGAGAGGTTAAGATGATGTAAAAGTTACAGAAACTTATTCTAAACTGATTGCAATCAGTGGCCATATACCTAACATTTTCTTTAAACTGAGATGGCCTCTTGGTGTTCATGTAGATTGTAAGTCCTTACGTAGTGAGTACTCTTCCTACTTATACTAAAGCTTGTTTCAGAACATGAGAGTTTTTCCCAAGATCTTGGCTGTGGCAGTAGAAAAACGCATTATAGATCAATGATATTTCAGTCCCTGACATTACATTTATGTCCCAGACTGTTGTAGTGGTAAGGGATAGTGCCTTTACCCCAACGATTAAAGAGCTCACAACTTCTTAACAGTTGTGTGCAAAATGGATGAGAAAGTAAGAAACAGCAAATCTTTTGTGCTGATTGTAAAGGTGATCGGATAACCAGGGAAGCCTGTATGAGCAGCATTTTGGCATCATGGATATAATTGCTGGGAAGCTCTGAGTTAAGACATGCGGAAGACTGAATGCTGCCCTCAAATCTTGAAGCAAATGACAAGAGCCGTATTTGAGCTGYTGTCTTTACCCAGCTGAAGTGTGCTCTGGGGAAGCAACAAGACCTTGGTAAAATTGGATGGTTAAGGGGAGGAGCTCAATTAGTAAGTGGCAAATACGTTACTGATGCTTTATCTGACTGCAGAGGGGTGGCATGCAGCACCTACTGTTTTTGTGGGATGTTCAAGGGTGTGGGGAGATCAAGCTGATTCAGGATGACGCATAGAAGAACGCACACTTCATTTCCCTCAGCAGATCCCTTCAATGTCTGGAAGTCTTCCATTGTATCAGAACACTTTAGGAGATACCAGACATTGAGTAATTGAGGCTGGTAGGTAACTGACCTCATCTAAAGAAGGGTCTGACAGTACTTAAACAGGTACTAGCTGCTTCTGCTTCAGTTCTTGATATAGTAGAGGTTTAGGGATGTATGTTTAGAGATGTATGTCCTGAGTATGCCCCAAGAGCACAGGAGAAGTGCTAGATTGGTGTGGTTGCTTGTGGTAAAGGTGGAAGTGAAATTAGCATGTCTTACTTTGTGCCCCTGTGCTTTTCCAGACAGGCCTCCTGGACTAAGCCAGATATATCTCAGTTGCTGCCATTCCCAAGTACCCTGCCAGGGTAGATAACTTCAGGGACCTAGTATGGGTTTTCAAATCACACTCACCAGACCAGCAGATTAATCTGTTCAGTTGTCTTGTGAAAGGTCCTGTTTTTAGGAAGAGTGATTGTAGACATGTACCTGACTCCACCAACTGGGAAAACTGGTTATGGCTATAACTGTGGAGAGACCCTCCTCAGATGTGCCCCCCAAACTCTGCCACTGGCTCYTCTGAGACTACTTCAGCTAGCAGGGGTATAATAATAAAAAAAATGTCATAATAAWTGCATTATAGGAAGCAGATCACATAGAAGAGGTTGCTCATTTTCTTCTATGTGGAGTATGGCAAAACACTTGCAGTAAACAGGTGGTACCAGAAAAAGTGGTTTAGATTAATCTAAAAGAAAATCTAGTTTGGGATGCTGTGAGGGCTTAGCTTAAGAAGTCAAAAAATGTCAAGGGCAAATCTCAGGGTAGCTGTTCCCTGCTTACCCAGCAGCTCAGTGACTAGTACCACATGATAAAGTTACACTCTCTTTTCTTGTCTGAGCAGATGCTTTCTGATCAGTTTTCTGGTACTGCTCTTGCTGAGGCTTTTGATAGCACACAATAACTTAACCAGAAGAGATGGATAATCTCAATATAATGAATCAAATCCTGTCAGACTGTGGTGGGAGCTGAACTTGCATTGTGAATGAATAGAGTGACCTTTTAGGGACTTTGGTACAGGAAGAGAGAATGTCACCTGTGTATTGTACTTGTCTTTTGTTTTTGGGTAAATGTTGGGTAAAGAATTCATTTGGGGCTGCTCAGAAGTCCAGCCTGAAATCCAAAGTGCTTTCTTATTTGTTTCACAAGGGAGACCTGACAATTTTAGCTCGGTAAAATTTCAGTATAACTCTTCTTCATAATGTGCCAATAACTATTATTGCAGTTTTATTTCTTGCTGTATTTCACTTACTAAAATATCTTGTATTGAGGCTTGATTTAATATATCTCTCTCTAAACAAAACTTCAGTGTATTTTAAATACTTAATTCTATGAAAACATGGCTATTTTCAAAATAATTCATCTGGATTATTTTTTTTTTCCACTATGGAATAGCTTTTTAGTATCACAGTCTTTGTCTGATAGCCAAAGCGTGTAAACTGGGAGATTTAACAGTTTGCTCTTCCCAACCCAAATTAGCTGTGATATGAATGGGAGAGATGCTGCTGTCTCCATGGGTTATCTCGGGCCCCTTGGGAATGACGCATGTTTTAAATGAGAACACGAATTGCTGGAGGAGGTTTAATGTTCATTGATAGTATTGCCAAGATAAGCAGGTCTGTACTGAGCTAAAGGATCTTGCATTTGAAACTTCTCACTAATTCACTGCAGACTGAAAGCTGCCACATACAGACCATGGTTTTCAGAGCAGAGAGGACTTGGCCCTCAAGGTCTCCCAGTCGAGTCTGGCTGCTGATCTCTTGTGAAGGTTTGCTCCTGCAGACTGTGAGTTACCTCATTCATGCTAGAGAGTGARTGCATTGGTGCTATCTGAATTCTCCTGCTGGCCCTGCTAAGAGTTAATTTGCAGCTTACTGGAGTTTGGGCAGTAAAAGAGTCAGAGCCTGTGATATAAGTTGACAGGAAATGTGAGGCTATACAAAACACCAGACTCTAGAAGGCGTCACACAGACATGTGGTGGTATTGGGGATCTTCTGAGGAGAGCACAAGTCTAGTAAGCAGTGTCTCTTTGCCACTGGAAGAAAGAAAAGGTGGACCCATGGCTGAGGGCTTYCATCAGCACTGCAGAGGATCAGTGTTTATCTGGCCAGTGAGTGTTGCTGGGTGGAGCAGAATTTGCTTGGTTACTAGAGTGCGGAGAAGACCATGCCTAATTCCTAAACAGGGGGATCCACCTGCCACTGAACTATATAACTATGGAGATGGCACAGGAATCCCTGTCAGGTGGTTATTCTGGTAGAGCATGACAGTCCTGCCCTCTGTGGCACCATAGCAAAAAGGCTAGGGGAGCGAAGAGCTGGTTGGAGGTGTAATGTGTATTCATAATGAAGGCATTGAGTGGGCATAACCAGAATAAGAACTGTCTTCACTAACCATCCTAATCCTTGTCTCAGTAGAGCCAGGCATACCTAACTGTGATATAAAACAGAAAAAAAAAACCCCAAAAACATGGAGACTGATGAGCTGAGTCCTGCACACAGCCATTACAGTTGAAGGATCCTGGTAACTGTACACTGTGAGAGTCTTGGTGATTCCATTGCAAAAGATTATTTTTTTTCTATTCTGTTACTTAGCAAAATGGAAGTCAAAAAACATCCTGCTAAAGGGAGGAAACTGTTTTGGTTTTGAAGAGATATTTCCACTTTTAATCTGTATATCCTATATATAAATTAACTACCTCYATGTGGTGTTGGTTGACACCTCAGGGTTGTTGTTGGATGAGAAGCTCAACATGACCCAGCAACGCATACTCACAGCCCTGAAAGCCGACTGTGGCCTGGCCTGCATCAAAAGAACTGTGGCTAGCGGTTGAGGGAGGTGATTCTACTCTGCTCTTGCAGAGTACTGGAGTACTCAGCTCTGGATAAGTCCAACATAAGAAGGACACAGACCTGTTGGAGAAAGGCAGGAGAAGYRTCATGAAAATRATCAGAGGGCTGGAACAGSTCTCCTGTGAAGACAGACTSAGAGAATTCTGGCTGTTCAGCCTGGAGAAGAGGAGRCTTCTGGAAGATATTATGAGGAAATTCTTCACAATGAAGGTTGTGAGTGACTTGAACAGGTTGCTCAGAAAAGTGGATTCCCCATCCCTGGCTGGAAGTGTTCATGGCCACGTTGGGTGGGGCTTTGAGCAACCTYGTCTAGTGYAAGGTGTCCCTGCCTAGGGCAGGGGATTTGGAACTAGATGATTTTTAAGAACCTCTTCCAACCCATTTCAAACTATTCTTTGTTATGGATGCTTTAATCTTTTTTCTGAAAAAAAATTTAAGTGAAATCAGTATCAGAGGTGGTGTAGGCTTTTATTCCTCATCTCCCATATTTCCCTTTCCCTTGGCATTGCAACRCTTGCTAAGGTTTCTGTTTCCCTTTACAAGTCTTTGTGACATCTGGAGAACAAGGAGTTCTGAAATGTTGGAGGAGAAAGGGGTCTGTGCTGCCAGAGTTTGTTGGTGTAGCTGTAGGTATTTGCACAAAAGAAAATAGAGACAGATGGTTGGAAGGACTCATGCTGCCTGTGAGAGCATGAGTCTCACAGGCAATGAGGTGCTCATTTTTTTAAATCTTAAGCTWTTGTAGCTTTGGCATAAGGCCATGTCTTGAGGAAATCTGTCTGGATTCAGTTCACAAAATGCAGCGCTTATCCGGAGATCCAAGAGCACATTTGCCTCCACAGCTGCAGAGACAGCCATATGCTGCCAGGGCTATGCTGTGTGTTCTCTGTGCCAAAAGAAATGGAGGGATGGCTCTATAATTGCCATTCAGGTGGAAGCCCACTGGAGTAGGGACAGCTTCAGGACAGGGAACCACTCTGAGATAGATGGCAGGGGCTCGGGCTGGAAGCAAAAGCTCTCCAGTGAGGAGAGCGAAGTGAGATGCAAAAGCTGCATCTTTCAAGCATGAGACGTGACTAGTTAAGGAGGGGCAGAGGCATGTTGCCATAGYGGGCTGTTCCAATTAGCCAAGAGCAGTAATTGACTGCCCATGAGGTRTGCTGCAATTGCCTAGGACTGGGAAAGGCCATGAGATGGCTATGGGAGTGTTCCATGGAAGGCTGCTGCATATTGAAGAGAGTGAGGCAGAACAGTTCCAGTGGTTTTAGGTTTTTGTTTGAATCTCTTAATCTCTCAAACCCTCAGAGTTGATGGATAGTGTATACAGTGAAGTCTACATGGTGAGAAACCAAGGCTTCGGTGGAGCCAGTTGAGTTCTAGTGGGTGTTATTTATGTGCCCATTGCAACTTACAGTTTGTGAAGAAAATAACCTTGGCCAGCCTGGGCTTTCAGACTCCTATCAACTGCCTTGCAGCCTTGACATCAGGAGACTGTGCCAGGCTAGTGAGGAGAAAACTTAGGCTGTGCATTGCCTGAGCAGAACTTTGCTCCAGGRAAGCAGGAATAACAGAAGGAGTGGTATTTGGTTTCTCCATAGCATGTGACTGAAGCAGAAGATGAACCTGGTCCCCTGTCCTGTGTATTTTGGTAACACTAAGAAGCTTCTTGTGACCAYCTGAAGTTGGGATGCTGGCTGAAGCTGCTCTGTTTTAACTTTTCCTTTCCAGTATGGCACCTGTTTGAGTGGGTAAAAAAAATTGCCAGCTTCCTTTCTTAAGTAATGGGTCAAGATGYCTGTGACAGCACTCTCACTAGCCAAAACCACACTTTTATGTGAGGAGATYAAACTTCAAGTTGCTTCCAATTTTCCTCTCAGTTGCTGAATACACCCTTGCTGTCTGCAGACCTCTCAGCTCCTTTCCCCTGTAGTGCTATTTGGTTTTGTTTTATTCCTGCTTGGTTTGTTTCCCATTTCTTGGTTGTGGCTTTACTAGATTTTTTCCCATCAGAGCAGAGGGTATAACACTATCCTCCTTTCACACCACTTCACCATATTTTGATGTCTTGGATTTGTGAACCAGACCCTCGCCTTCRCTGCTCATCTGCCCACTCAGCTCAGTTCCTGAGATGGAGCCTCTGCTGGTAACCTGCTCTGCTTTCACTGTGATTTCTTCTTTTCCACCTTGTAGTCAGAAAACCTGTAAAGACAGGTTTTCTCTCTGCCTGCCTTTCTTCCTCTTCCTGCCTCCATCTTCTCAAATATTGCTCAGAAATAGCTGTAGTGTAGGTCTGAGAAGAGCAAAACAGCRTTTAGTATGTCTGGTTCACATCAATACAAACATGGATCAGTGGGTGTAAAGCAGCATGGTGACAAGCCAGCCCAGTCCTCCTCCTCAGGGTTGGCTGCTGCCATTGGTCACTCCCGGCATATCTGAGAGATTATCTGAGGTGTTTTTCTGATACCTCATACTAATGCAGACCATGTTGTCAAGACTCAGTATGTGGCATGAAAATTACCACATAGTGTGCTGTGGAATTACTGGGGATCTTTAATAATTATGCTTAAAGTTTTACATCATCCTACAATAAAGCTACTGAGGGCATACATAAAAATGCAGTTTTCTTAATGTTCTCTTGCTTAATGCTGCACTGGAGGACTTAAGTGGAGGAAAAAGTCTTCTGTGCCTTCGTAAATGACTCAAATTCTCAACCATTTTGCAGRTCTGCTCTTGGCTTTCAGAGTTACTAAGTCTGGATCTTGTTGCCACATCACATTTGCACACAAGTACCTCTTTTMCTATAAATTGTCTGGCAGGAGACAGGATGTGGTCTCTTTCAATGTATGTATGGCTTTGGAGCAATAAGCCTCAAACCCTGCAGAGATTCAATAAATGCTATTACTCATACCAAGTAAAAATAACCAAAGCTTATATTATGTGGCATCTCTGGTTGCCTAGAGTATCCTTGGGGCAGAGTTTACTTCACCAGTCATGAATTATTACATTTATGTTCAGTTTAAGTGCCTGTGTGGGCAGTCAGCTGCACCTGAAATCTGTGTAATATTTCTTGAAGTGAAATTGACTCTACTAGCAATACCTGCACAACTTTTTCTGAGGGTGTATGAGAAGCAACAGAAGCAAGTTAAGTTAGAACAAAGGAAATTCTGACTAAATATTAAAAAAAGCTTTTGCCATGATGGGCAGTGACTGGACTGGAGATTTTGAGAGACTGAGTTATTTTTCTTCTCAGAGATACTAAAACTTGACTGGACAAAGCCTGGAGCAACCTGCTTCAGAGGGCCTAGTTTAAACAATCAGACCCKCAGAGTCCAGAGATCCTTCCCAACCTCCCTCATTCTGTGAAGTTTTTCAGCTGAGCTAAGCTGTGCCAGATATAATTAGACTCAGGGTGTACTATTGTCTTTGTACTAGAGTTGATTTTTTTCATGTTGTTTTCTTCAATGCAGGCAGTGATCCAGATGGACAGAGCAGTAAGGCGTTTGGAGCCATGGAAGATTGCTGTAATWGTTGTGTCCGTGATAGTAGGCTTAGCCCTCATCATTGGCTTGATTACATTTCTTTTGTGCCACGGTAAGTACCCCACTATTTTGTTGTCACAAACCYTCAGGAATATGTTGTGTTTCACTTGTTACTGTGGTCTTGCCTGAAGATTTATGTATACAATTTGCCCCTGTAGCTTTCTAAATGCTATTCAAAATCTGAATTGATTTGAAAACCTGTAAGAATACTTGAAATATGCTTTACTTGAAGCAGGGATTTCAGTTGTAACCCTCTTTTTGCTTCTTGCCCTGGTGTCTCCACTTGTATCCGTGACTGACCAAAGGATGGCAGTCTTCTTCATAAGCCAGAGGTGTGTGTAGTACTCAGGCTGTGCATAGTAAGCTTAGTCTTGAATGGAATTTTTGCAGAAACTCAACTTGGTGCCTCTAGCTGAGAATATTCCAGAAAGAGAGAGGGTTTAGGCATTTCAGAGCCCAGAACTCAATTCTGGTTGCCAATGGCCCAGTTTCAGTAGCAGATCATAGAATCATTGAAGTCRGAAAAGGTCTTTAAGATCACCAAGTCCAAACATCTTGGCTCGTGACTTGAAGACAATTAATTCCATTCCCAGTCACTTGCCTCATGAATGAAATCAAGTCATTCCATTCCCAGTCTCTGAGATATGAGTGTGAGTTTTGTGAAATGCCTTCCTGCTGGAATGGAATGAATCATATTGCCGTCTCAGGTCACCAAGAGTTGGTGAGACTTGCATTAGGACACCAGAAGGAGCCACTGCAGAGCTACAGCTCAGCTTTGCTTTTTGCCAGCTCTCTGTCAACAGGGCCCCTCTCTGCCATTCACCTGAGAACCAGATTTTAAACTTAACCCGACTGCTGAACAGATGCCAACAGCCCTGCGCTGTGTGCCTCTCAGAGAGGCAGGGACATGCCAGAGTGCAGCTAGGGAGGAGTGAATGTGTCTGAGTTGGAAGGGACATAGATGGGCTCCTTTGTCTGGTGCTGTGAGAACCTCAGGCCAACAAGAAGATGGACCCCAGGGAAATGTTGTAGTGGGTATAATTTAGAGCTCCTTGGGATGGTTCTCAGAGAAGAAATGAGCCCCTAGATGCTCCATGGAGCAACAGGATGGTCTGGAACCTGTTTTTCTCAAACAGGTGCTGCTAAAGCTGTATTTTTACAGCTGACATGATTGCAGCCCGAGCCTGGGACCCTCATTTGTGCCATGTTCTGTGAGACACCATCTTTGAATTGTGCTAAAAATGATCAGCTACCTTTCCTTCTTTTTCTCCTCTGTAGATCAAGACAGATATTACAATGCATCTTTCCTAATCACCAATGTCAACTACAGTCCTCAGTATGAAAGGCAAACTACAGATGAATTCAGGAACCTAAGYGAAGATATTGAAACCATGGTAAACTAAAAGTTTCTCTGTTTACATCTGACCTATGGTGAAGAGTTCTGCAATTGTGTGCTTGGAARTAGAGGTGATTGTGCCTCATCCCTACATGGCTGGCCTTATCTTTCATGCCTTGCTGTAGTGGGTTAAAGAGGCATAGCTGACTGCGCACAGGCAGATGGTAAACACAAAGGCTGTCTGTTACAGAAGCCCTGTGGTAGAACTGGCAACCACAGTGCAGAATGGACAGTGAAATTGTCCAACTGAGCTGTTTATTTTGGATCTRTATCCTCTGATAGAAATTTAGTGGTAGCTTTGGAGTAGAGGTGGAGATCTGAAGGCATTTCATTTGTTTTAGAGGCTCATGATACTGTTATATTGTGAAAGCATGTACTTACTGCAGGTGTATTTTAACATAGTCTTTTCTTTTAACAGATATCTGAAGTATTCAGGGGGTCCTTTCTAAGTAAAAGGTACCTCAGGTCCCACGTTGTCAGTCTAAGGTAAGTAATGTGAAGGCCAGGAATAATCAGAGATGTGATAAATACCTTTTCCGCCTACCTGTTGACCATATGGAGCATTCCTGGCTGCTTATAATTGAGTTACACCTGCAGGGTGACTAAGCCTTGTCTGGTTGTTGCTGTCCTCCAGTGCTCACAATACTGAAGTGTCAGTTACCTTTAGAGGTCAGCAAAGAAGAGAAGTTAGCCTTATAATTCTGCAGATTCATTACCTGTATATCAGTTGCTTCTGGCTGTGATGCAAGACCTGGATTGTTGGGTGATCCCCACCTTCACTACTAGTTAACAGCCTGAGAGATGCAGAATGAGCTCTTTTTCCCACTTTCTTCTTCCTGTGAAAGCTTAGGCTTGTGTTTCCCCCTCTGCATGATGCACAGCAGGAGGTGACTGTTCTTCTGCCTCTATGAAAAGGTTTGAAGGAATAAATGATTCCACTGTGAGATACATGGATATAGATGAGGGAATATAGACATGGATATAGTAGAGGGTCCTGTATGAAAGATTTGAGTCTTTCCTCTGCAGTAATTGTGTATCACTTTCAGTGGTAGGATCCATTGCTTCCCTCTCCTCCATGTTACTTTATTTTGGAGATGTATAAGGCTCAATTGTGCCATGGAACAATTTTCCCTAGATGTCAAAAAATGCTGGACAAATGTCCTTCTTCAGAGCACTTCAGAGCACTTCTGGGACTTTTTGCCTTTACCTTTCTCTAGATGGGATGAGTAATTTCCTTAAACTGCTCTACATCATTTTCTGRTGCTGGTTTCTTTTACGAGCCTCCCACAGTATACACCAACAGAAATTGCAGAGTTTGGGAGCTAGAGTCCAAATGACTTCTTTACACCTTTTGGATTTATCTCTTCCAAACTTGTTTTCATTACAGATACTTTGTACAGCTAGGAACTGGAGCAGCTTAGCTGCATCTCTGCTCCCTTTCCCTCAAAGCTTCAGTTGGTTTTCGTTTAGACTGTTAGTTTAAAATATTGGGGCCAATATTTTATAGTGTCAGTAAGTGATCTCAAACTATTGAGAATGTTGCGTCTAAACACATAGATCTCACTGGCCAATAAATGGACAAGTGACTTAAATGGAAAGAAATGCCAAAAGAGTTTTTCAACTTCTGTTKTAACTGGATCCTAACTTGGCTGTTAGGAATGGCCTGTTGGACGTCTGCTGAATGGCTTTAATTTGCTGTATTGTTCCCACGGCCACTTGTGTCCTACTGATTAGGCCAAAGGGAGTGATCCCTTCTTTGCTTCTCAGCTCTACTGCTTATAACAGTTCCCAGAAAATTCCCACTGATCATTGTCATAGCAAGAAGCTTTTGCTGCCTGCTGACATGTCATCATCTTCTTTACTTGAGCACAGCCATGCTGTTTGTTCTGGATATCTGTGCAGACCAGACCTGTTCTCATATAAAGAAGACAGGCAGTGCAAAGCAGAGCCAGAAGCATTAGTAGGCAAAGAGAACGACACCRTTTATTTTTGTTGGTTTGTAGCCCAGATCCTGGTGGAGTGGTTGCATCTGTTGTTCTGGTATTTAAATTTCCCTCTGCTGACAGTGAAGCAACGACCTGGGGTCACGTCAACCGTGTGTTACTCAGAAGGCTGAAAGCAACCTCAACATACCTGGATGTTGACCAGTCTACTGTTAGACTCACAGGCAAGTGCCTTAGGTTTGTGTTTTCAGCTTGGAATTTGTTCCTCAACTTTACTGTTCTTAGTGTAATGAGTTTTACCTTAGTATGCAAATATAGGCTATTCTTGTTTCTTTTTAAGCCTTCTCAAAATTGTCTGTTAGGCTGACAGCCTGGGAACTTGGAAGACAGGGTATGGAAAGAACTAAAACATATTGATGCTGATTTATGAATGTGAGCTCTTTTCTGTGCATCAGTGGCTTTCCCTGTGTGACTTAGCTGTGTTGAATGAGATCGCTCCCCTCAATTAATCAAGAAAAGTCCAACTTTGTGACCGTGAGTTCACAAACTACTTTTAGACACAGAGTAAATTGAACAGGAACCTGTATCACCAGGCACTGGAATGTAGAGTCCTCAAGCTATTTAAAAATGCAAGGCTGAGGTGGTTCCCTTCTCTACCACCTGCCACTTTCTTTGCTTATTYGACTGATTGCTGTAACAAGTGTCCATAACAAGATCCTGAGTATCACTGAGCAGTAATCCTCTCCCACTAATCTGTTGTGGATTGCCATCAGACTCTGACAGAGGCATTTTTGTAGGAAAAATTCAAAATGTTGTACTTTACCTTCAGTCAATGCCAGCAGTAAGGATTTATGAGAATTCCTTTGACCACCTTGCCCCACTAAACCTTGCCTGTAGGCATTTGCTTKTGGCTGTGCACGTTGTACATGTAGATGCAACTTGGACCTGCTTACAGTCATCTGCTGCTTTTGTTAGCTTTGAGCTAAGGCAAGAAAGGTGTATCTTGTGGCCTTATACTTTCTGTGAGGAACAGAGGCTCAACTGAACTTCTCCAACAGAASAAATTGCTTCTTGTACAGTCACTTCATGCAGGAATGCAAGTTATTTAATTTGTGTTTCCTGGGTACAGGGAGAGAGTCTGGGTTAGATCGTGTAGCATATGAGATAAACTTACTGCGGTCTTTGTTTCTCATTCCAGAGTTGAACAAGGAAAAAGGAGATAACCTTTTAAACAACTGTAAGTACAAATGCTTTATAGTAAAGGTCCAGAAACATGGCGCTAGGTGTTCTGTCCTTACAAAATCCTTATACTTCTGTGACACAAGTTGAAAAGAGCAATAGACAGTGCATGAGCCAGGGAAGACTTTAGCTCATTTCCTTGCAGTCTTGCTGACTCTGTACTGTCTGTAGAATCAGGCATTCTGGCTTGGAGGAGGGAAGCACTTGCTTTAATGTTGATTATTGGAAGTAGGGCATGGGTGAGCTGCTGTTAGCAAGTTTGCATAAGGATTACCGTTTTGCTGTGGTCCATGATTCTTGCTGGAATCCTTCAAAAAACATTTTCTCTCCTTCCCCTTCCTTCCTGAAGATAGGTTTGGCAGTAGATGTCTGTCAGATTTGAGCTAAACTTTAAGGAAAGGCCAGAGGGTGGGAGAGGGAGCAGAGCTGTCCTCAGTGAGAGCAAGGCAGTGGCACAGCTCTGGAGCGCAGCTTCAGTCCTTCTCCTGTTCTGTGCTCCCCCTTGAGGTCTTAGAGCTCCTCTGGAAACAGGGAGACAGCATAAGTACCTTCCAAGGGCAATCCATCCGTTCTCTGCATGGTCTTGAGGAATTTGCATGTTAGCTTTCCATCCTCAAATGGCCTCTGAAAATTTACTAGTTTGAATCTAACTTTTTTCATCTGAATAATATGTGATTGTGCTGTTGGCACAGTGGCTGTAAGTAAATTGTTGGGAAGAGGACATTTGTTTTGTTGCTGCTGGCAAGGCTAATATGGATGTGACCTGACAAAATCCCTTCTTTCACTGTTTCAGATACATAGCCTTTAGGCCCCATGGGAGTACATATGGGCTTTTGTGTCTGAAAACTGGTTTAATGAAAAAGCACTGACTCTTCTACCAAACTTCTTTGTTTACYCTGCATCTATGCTGAGGCACTTGTGACCATGGCACTTGGTTTCCCTGCTTTAGGTGAAGGCTGTCTCTTGACAGAGACTCCTGCCCTGTTAACGCCTGTGCCTGCAGCTATGAAGGCCTTCAGTCAGCTAAAGCAGGACTCCCTTTTCTTTGATAGGCTGTGGAATACGAAGACAGGCATTCTCCTTCACAGGAGTGGAGAGAATAACTGGTGGGCAGCGTGCACGGGAGGGAGAATGGCCATGGCAGGCAAGTATTCAGCTTGATGGGACCCATCGCTGTGGTGCATCAATCATCAGTAACACCTGGCTTGTGACTGCAGCCCACTGCTTTAGAGGGTAAGTCATCAGCACTATTCTGATCCTACAGCTCTAAAAACTCGTGGGTGCTCTGACCTTTTGTGACTCTTTAATATCTGTATCTGCTAAAAGATAATGAAGTTTGACTCTTTCTCTTAGAAAGTCCTGGTCACATTGCTTTTCAATGCTTAAAAGGAGAGCTAAGGTCCCTTAGGGATCTTGTTTTGTGTGGCTGTGGCATAACCTCAAATATCTTACAGAGTAAGAGACCCTCGGAGGTGGACTGCCAGCTTTGGAATTCTGCTGAGACCTCCAAAACAGAAAAAATTTGTCCGGAGAATTATTGTTCACGAAAGATACAGTGACCTTCTCCTTGATCATGAACATGATGTGGCTGTTGTGGAACTTGCCTCTGCTATTGAATTCACAAGTGATGTGCACAGTGTCTGCCTACCTGAAGCAACTCACATTTTCCCAGACAACATTTCCTGTTTTGTCACTGGCTGGGGAGCTTTGGAGAATGATGGCGAGTGTCTCTTGCTCCCTGTGTCCTGTCACACATGTGTCTGAAATGCCTGATGTTAATTTTATGGGGTTTTTTCTGTTGATTTTAAGTTCCTTAGACTTGTTGTTTGATAGGTGCTTGTCCTAATGAGATACCTTTGRACTTAGTTTGCAGCTTTTTTGTCTGGCTTGGTCAGTGGATTGGAATTGGGGGGAAGAATCWGAAGGCTGTCTTACAGGATTTAAGAGCAGCTTTTCTTTGTTGCTGCATGCACAGTGCTAGCTGAATACATTCTGTTCTCCAATCCCTCTGAGTTGAGCTCTGAYATGAGTTCTTTTGCTATTCAGATTTTTCACAGAGGCACCATGACAATTTTCATCAGTTATTCTTTCTTTGGTCATAAATGAGGCCTCATCCAGTGATTTGAGYGAGCTTCTTTCACATTAGTCCGTGCCATTGAGGTTAGAGATGATGGGACTATAAATCTGCTTGTGAGAACCACTGAACCATATAGGTTATGTTTCATGGGAGACCCTTGGGATGTGTAGTGATTGTCCAAAGCTATGCTGACCAAATGGGTCTTTTCAATGATAGCAAGGACATACCATGCATCTAGAGTTGAATTCAACACTGAAATATATGCAAAAATCAATTTGTCCATTATACTAAAGAGCATCTGATAATGATGAATGATGAAAAAGAGTTATGTCTGGGAACAAGTGAAGGACTTTAGTGCTGTTGGGAACTTTGTTATTTCTGAGACATTATCTGGATAGCTCCTTTAATTGCTTGTGATAGCAGAAAAGCAGCAGGAAAATTTGGCTACTCCTAATCTTTGACATTTTTACATTGCCTACCCTGTCTGCAAATTCTAATGCCACTTCTCCTTCTAGGCTATAGTGTTAATCAGCTTCGACAAGCAGAAGTGAGAATTATAAGTACTGAGATTTGCAATAGGAGACAAGTGTATGGTGGAGCAATAACACCTGGAATGTTGTGTGCTGGATACTTGGAGGGACAGGTGGATGCTTGCCAGGTAAGTATATTTTTTATAGGTAGTAGTAAAAAGGAAATAGGTGGGATGGAAGGTGATGTTTACTAGAAATAAAATGTACTTTCAGCAATCTTAAGTTGATGCATTTCAGTATCTTAATAGATGCAAATGAAGAGCTTCATGGCTCATGGGCTGAAGTCTTCACTTCAGGTTGCATTGTTTATGTACAATACACCAGTAAGAGAATGTGAATGTGAGGGGGTGGACTGGGACAGACTGAATTATACATAGGCTGTGGSCATCTGTCATGTTAGTAAACTGTATGAAACTTGAATTACAGCTGAGATCTAGAGAAAAATACCTGTCAATTGTAACAGAACAATTTGAGACTTGCTTCATTAGTGAGGTGAACACTGTTTATGTTTTTTCTGCCTCTTGACATTTTTCTCCTTAGGGTGATTCTGGCGGGCCACTGGTGCATGCGAATTCCAGAGGAATCTGGTATCTGGTGGGAATAGTGAGCTGGGGAGATGAATGTGGCAAGCGAAATAAACCAGGAGTGTACACACGAGTGACTTACTATCGAAACTGGATCCACTCCAAAACGGGCATCTGAAACCTGGAGCAGGTTAAGTTTTGTGGGCTGTGTACAGCTATTCCTCTGACACATGCTGCTCCGTGGTCACCCTCTAAGCAGCTGCTGGCTTAGCTTGTGGTCATGTATAAAGTACCTGTAAGCTTGGAGCAGTCTAGGACTTGAAACTGGTGGTTTGGCCTACAGCCAGATGGGGATGGACTTGATCCATGGGACAGTTGTTTGCTCAGGAAGTAGTCTATCAGAGGGACAACTGCCTTTGTCTATATGCAATATATTGACCCTTTTTTCTCCATGGCTGCGTCTTGGCCCCAGCTTTTATACCCAAGCAAAGTGTTTGAGTCCAAACAATCATCTATGAGCATCCAAGAGAAGCTTTAACTGAAACCTGTCCCATCCATTTGCTGTGTGCTCAAAAGGCCCTATCTATCTTTAGACAAGCTACAATCCAGCCCCTGACTCCAAGGCTGCTGTACAGCTGAATTCTTGAGCTTTCTCCTGTATCATTCCAGGGAGTGTACCATAATAAAGAATGGAAGATGGCTTAGAGAAGTCCTGGTTCCTAATACCACATCGGACTGTTACTTAAGGGAATAGAGAATTATTCCTTGCCTGAAAAAGGAATTAATGGAGAACACCAGYTTGTGTCCACCTGCTTTGAACAAGGGAATGTATGCCCACCCATCACTTCATATAAACAGCCTCTACTACAGCATTTGCCATGGGAATGATTGCTGGAATTAAGACCAAAATCCACTTTTTATTCATATCAATCTGTTGTCATAGCAAAGTATTTGGCTGAATTAATTTCCATTTTTGACTTTCCAGAGTGTGTTTTTCTGAATAAAAATCCTTTCCTTTTTGTGCAGAATGGACGATTATACCAATCTTAGTATGACCATTGTAAAAAATAACTTCTCAGACTTCTTATTCTTGTGAATGCTATTTTCAAGTCTTCATAATTTTGTAGGTGCATCTTTAGCTGAATCTTGTAAAAAAGCCCCAAACTTTTACATTACAGTGGAAATGCCCCTCTCCTTCAGAGCAGGGCAGAACTTCTGACAGACTCAGAAATCTTATGTACAGATCTTTCTTTTCCCACAAAAAGAAAGACTTGCCTGTGTTACATTGCCAGACTGACTCATTTGATCTCAACCACACAAACCTCATAGTCTCTCTGACTTCATGTCTTCAGGAGCCCATGTTTCTACAACCCAGCATCAGAAYACACCTATTTTTGGTGAGGATACTCTCCTTGGTGTGTCTGCAAGCTTTCTAACACTTCTTGTGGATCCTGATCCTCACAACGGCAAGTGCTGTGAACTTAATTGCTGGATAATAAGCCACACAAYTGCTTTCTTCTCCTCTGTGGTCAGAAGAGAAAGAACTCAGCAGAGGAGACCCTGGCCACATTGCCAAGACTCAGAGGTGGTCCAGCATGGCAAGCAAACAAGAATCTCATACCAGGCTTGAAAAAGCAGACAGCAAGCTTTCAGCATGCTCTTAGTTGGAAGGGTCAGGGGAAACAGACCCTCAGTGATTACAGTCTTAGGATCAGAGTGTTGCTCAAGTTGAGCACCAGTCATCTGGTGAAGTCAGTGGCAGTTCAGGGATTCCTTCTGGGCTGTGCACCTTGCTGCTAGTCCTGCCAAACAGAGCAGCAATCCCTCCAGAGCAGTGATAACATTATTTTGATAACATATCCTGTGATTTGACTGTTTGTCAGTACAGGGAAACATGTTTTTGTAGACCCTCACTAWAGGTACTCAAATATTTGGATGCCCAGGATGGTCTGCTGCTGTTGTGTGTTTTATGCTTGTGTATACCTTGTGCTTATTTTTTTTTCTCAGGGAACTTTTCTTGTGGAATGTTGTGAGCTTCGGAAGCAAAACTTGGTGGCTTAATTTCTACATAAYGAATAAAAACTGTCAGACTGGTTCCATAGGTCTGAGCCCAACAGATTTCATTTTATCCTCTTCAGCAGAACATGACTTTGAAGTATGTTGCTTGTTAGAAGAAAGGTTAGAATTGATAAATGATAAATATATATGAATTATTTTCTTGGTCATAGCAATTGTGWTACCAGGAGGGTGAATAAAATTTTATATTTGTGAAGAAAAGCATCATTACAAGACACTGTGGATTTCCAGTTCTCAAAGCATTTTAGGCTTGGGTTTTCAAAGGGCATAATGGTTTCCCCATCCTGCTGGATTTCATTGTAACTTGCATACTTACCATTTTTAGGGCTGTAAATATCAACTTTCTTACCAATTCCCCCAATCAGAAAAGTAGATGTCCAAAAATTTTATTTTGAATCTGTGAACTTTCCAATTGTGCTTATTTTGGGTACAATATCAGAAAGCCTTAAGCATTTCACTCTGTATCAAGGGCTGGAGTAAGTCTCATTCTCCCAAGTGGTGCACTCAAGACTGAAAATCTCAACTTATCATTTGCTCAAGGAGCTGCCAGTACTGAGAATCTATTTGTAGAGGTACAGTACCTGATTCACCTTAATGCTGAGTGCCAGCACAGTGCAGCCAGGAGGAGTGGGATGAAGAGGACCTAACATCTACCTGATGTGCATTTTGGGAACCTTTCTTCTGGACTACTTTGTGGAGTTTCTCCTTACAGCATCTGGAAATTTCTGTTCCAGTTTCTCCTGGAGGCAATGCWGTTTACATGCTCTGAGGCCTTTTGGTGGTGCAAAGCAGTGCAATTGGTGATTATCAAGGAGAGTACTTGAAAGAACAAACTTCATCCAAGGGAGCGAGCGTTGGTGTGGCTGGACATGATGGGCCTGAATCCCTTACTTGTGGCAAAACTACACTGATGTCATCCTTGACTGGCTTTTCATGAGGGAAATTATGGAAATCTGAAACCAAATTTTTTTATTTGGTTTAAGGTGGTCTMGCAGAGTTCTATTTATTTTAAGCTGCATTTTCACCTATTCGTGAGGCCACAAGCTACAATTTCTCTCATCTGTGTTTTTGGAGGAATTAACATCTTCACTCAAGGCAGAATGGGAGATATCTAGCTATACAAACATGCATGACACTCTGGAATGTAATTTATATGTAATTTAATAAAATCTGTTAAATTTACCTTCTGTTTAATGGACTTACTARTATGTTACACTGATCCAATACCACAGATTTATGCACTGGCTTTTACGTAGTCTTAACCATCTGACTTTTTAGATAGTTAGCAGGTGTTAGGTGAGCAAAGTGTCACTCAGACTAGGACAGAATTTACCCATCTGGCCAGCAGTTATCCAGATTTGTGTGCAAGTAAACAGGTCCTGTTTCACCCACTAGAGGGTGAATCGTATTGTACAAGAGCCTTAAGCTCTTGGCAGCTGGTGGTGCTCTGCCCCACCTTGGTAGAGAGGATGAAGCACTGTGTCCCTGCTGCCTTGAAGATGCAAAGATGCTGCACAGTTTGCTTGCAAAATCTGGGGAGGCTGCAACTGTCCACCTTTAAGCATAGGCATCTGCAGCACTGGGTGGGTTTCATGCTTCTCCCATCAGAAAGGTGGCATCCAATGTTCCCCTCTAAGTGTGTTAAATGCAGTAGGCTATGGCTGTGAGAGCAAGGGCTGAGCAGGTTTTGTCTGCTTATCTGAAACAACAAAGCCAGAGCTTTGCCCTGTGGAAAAATAGACTGGAAAGGCACATGGTCAGGTTACTTTTGATATCATGGGTCAATTTTCTGAGCTTGTCAGCCTTCTTGCAAACAAGAGAGCAGAGCAGCMGCAATTTTGCGAACTTGATACGACMGGATGTTTGCAGTGGCTTGCTTGGTCTCTMATTTTGACAATTCTTGATGATTCGTGTAGATCAAACACACTGATCAGATTTCTTCTTGTCCCTTTTCCTGTCATAATGGAAAACTTGGTACAAATTGTACTGTATTATTCTGAGCTGGAAGAGCAAGCTTTTGATGAAGGAAACGTGCTGAAATTCATTGATCCCAGTCTTATAACACCTAACAGCCAGCAGGATTAACTTAGAATTTGAGGTTATCTAAGAGGACAAAAAGGAGTGCAGCGGCTTTATTGCATTACTACAGGACATGCCATGTTGGCTATAGATGGAAAGGTGGCCATTTGTTWGAAAGAAGAGTACCACTTTTGTCACATTTGACTGGGTTCGGTGTAAGAAAGGGAGTGTTAGAGACAGACTTCTTAAAGGACAGTATTTTAACAAATATTTTTTATAGCTTAGAAAACAGCTTTAAGCTGACAGAACCCATGTTGTGTATGTAAAACTTAAAGCATTTATGAACATTCATTACATTGATAACTGTGTCATGACCCAAAGATATGCTCAGCTGATGTGGTTGTATTTGGCTGTGTGGGTGGAATTTCTGTCAAAAAGTTTGAAGTGTAGAATTGAAGAGAAGAATAATTCTTATGGTCTTTTGTATGTGTGGCTAAATAGCATCCTTCCATAAAACAAAGCTGTCAGTATTTCAGCCTGCTGGTTGCCCTATTATTGCTGCAAAGAAAACTTTTCAAAACTTCTCTGGTTAGAAGACTTCAGAAACAAGTATAGCAAATAGCAGTTAACATGCTTTATTGTAAAGTAAAATTTTATTTCTAATTGAACACTTTCTTAAATCACACTTTTAAAAAAGAATATTTTGTTTGCCATTCATTGTCTGTGGCTTTTTCTCTGGTGCAGATAAATTATTTCAATTAAGAACGAGAAAAAGCTTTGAGGAACTTGTCGTCCAAAAAATGCAGCTCTTTATTTTGTACAAGCTTGCATAGGTCTGAGAAGTATATAGCATATCTCCAATTCACTTGATTAACTACTGAGTTCCTTCCTCCCTGCAGTGAATTGGAGTTGTGCTTGCTTTGTGGTGTTTGTTCCCTCAGCACCTGTGCTTTCCATCTGCACAAYTGTACTACTGGGTTGTCCCTCACAWAAGGAAGGACTTGCCATCAGCCTGGCATCCAGAGCCTGTTTAAACCACAGATCATTCTTTGTATATCAGTACAAACAAACAGCAATTGTCACACATCTCTGACCTTCACCAGGCTCTTGGAATCACCTGCAGCCTTTGGAGCTGTGACTCAGACAGTCTGGCACTGTTCTCCAGGCCAGCAGATGACCTGCATACCAAAGGGGGCTGTTGATGGCAACATTCCTTYCCCAGCAGACAGACTAGATGGAGGGACTGTGTTAGGTAATAATGTCTCCTATGCTAGAGCGTGATGAAAATGTAAAAAATCTTCTTTACTGTGAGAGAGCTTGAACTTTGAAYCAGGCTGTCAGGAGAAGTTACGGAGTCRCCATCCTTGGAGATAYYCAAAAAACACAGCTSGACATGATCCTTAGCACGTCCAGCTATACTTGTTTTGTGCAGAGATTTTAGCCTAGATGAGCTCCCAAGTTCCTTTTCCACCTCAGCTGCTGTTCTCCCCAAGTGCCTTAGCAGCTTCAGGGAGGGGCACATGGCCATGGCTAAGTGGAAACTGTCTCAGGTAAGCTGACTGCCCCTCAGCTGTGCCTGTAGCCAGCCACTCACCCCCTGAGTGCTTCTGGTAGCCAACCTCAAGGAGCCTGACACCAGSCCATTTTCATGCTTGACCCTTGACCCTTAGATGCTGTAACAGTGCTGCTGTCCCAAACTTGCCTGGCGCTGTTTCCTTTTAATAATCARTGGAAACAGCAGGGCATGGAAGGGAAAACAAGCCATTCTGTGCCACCTAAGCAGAAAGCAGGTTACTCGAGAGAGAGCTCAGCCAGAAGGTCTCACAGGGAGGCAGTGAACCAAGTGGGACCCTATTTGGTACTCTGCGTGTTTCTGTCAGAGTGACTGATCTCCTGAAATACAGAGTCAAAACAGCTGCAGGATGGAGGTCTTGGACATGGTTTTCATTGTGTCTAATTCAGTCTATGAAGCTGTGAAAGCTGATGCAGTGCATGATAAATCAGGTGACCATGGACAAAGATCTGGCATGCTGCTCTGGAGTAAACTGGAACAGGTAATAGTTCTGGCAGAAAGCATCTCCGACTCTGTTTGGCCTTCACAAGCAACTTAGCTGCTAACAAATTACAGGAAATCAAGTCTAAGCTACCTGTATTCTGGGAATGTAGAGATGTAGGAATAGCCTTGTTTTGCCTGTGTTGCCTTCTGCAGAGGTCTAAGTACTCCTGGCACTTCTTAGATTTAGAGGTCTAAGACCCTCTAGCACTTCAGATCTGTGAAACAATGCTGCTCTTTTTCTGTTCAATTGGAGCTGTGCCTTTACAATATTAATTTGTATTTAAAAGTCATTGCTTCTTTATACGCCTAGTCTAAGTTGTGTGAAGATCCCCTGTCTCTTTGGAAGTGCTGTGTTGATGGGGAGCAGAGGATTCATGCACTGGATGGAGAGAACGGCTTGTTAGCCTGACGGAAGAAAATGCAGGCTGGCCTGTTTCACTGCACAAACAGCAGCTCTGTCTGAGCAGCTGCAGAGGACTGGCACACGTGTGCCACCTTTTTGCCTCAAACGGGGCGACGGGCTATGAATTCTTTATTAATGACTCTGGCAGTGGGGGACTTCTTCTGTTATCAAAGGGCGTTGCTGGTATTCTGGGCTGGCCTCCCTGGCTGCAACTCAGACGGGTGTAGCAGTTTCTGTTACCAGGGCCTGGAAAGAGGGACTGTTTGGAAGCCAGCCAGGGCAGGATCTGGCATACTTCAGAGCTTGAGGCCATGCCTGTAGCATCCTTGAGTCTCCACGTGTTCAATATCTCAAAGCTGCATGGACGTGTAATAAAATCTTGCCCCAAGTGACTTTTCAAGGCTCAAGATAAAGGACCTGGCTTCTCTTCCTGCCCTTATATGGGCTCGGGAGAATAATTCTATCCTTTTAATGGATTTTCTGCTTTTGTTTTTCAACTTATCAGCTATTAACTGCCATCAGTTACTAAAAGCCATAGCTGGAATTTCATGTAGCAAAAGAAAGCATGGTGGCCTTTCTCTGTCAAAACAGTAAAGTTGTGTAGCATGTCTACCTCTGTTGAAATGTTTAAAGAAATGCAGTTCATTTAGAGCTTCCGCTGAATTTTGAAAGCCAAATGCAAGATGTCTCTGTTTTTCGGTGGGGTAGGCCTAAAGCCGTAACTGAGCTGTCCAGGTGTGSTGATGGAAAAAGGAGTGGATTTGTCCAAGGGAAGGATTTTATCGCAGCGTACCAGTTTAGTCTTACCRGATGCTCACAGAATTACAGAGTAATTTTTTATTTTAATTTCCCAATTYTTGCTTGGGAGGGATGTACAGAGGTCACCTTGTCAGACCCCCTCTCAGAGCATCTCTAATTAATTCAGGTTGTTTAACATTCAGGTTGTTTAACAGAGCTTGTGTCAGTTCTGTTAAACTCCTCTCAGGTTTAGAGTAATGACTGACCGCTGCCTTTGGTCTGAAATTCATGGCCTGGCTTGAGTAGCTAGYAGACAATTACACAAAACATCTTTGCTTGTAAATTTTGAAGATGTTATTGTTATAGTGGTCTTCTCTGAAGGTGTTCTTTGTCTCTAGAGCCCGTGAGCCTATGTAAGTATGCAAACACAACCCCAGGTAATCTGTTATTACCATTCTTAGGCAAGCAGTCTGTCTGACCGGCTGGGCTGACTTTGCAGGGTTAAACAGAGAGAATGGTCATTACATCTTTTTACACTTTCATTCACAAAATCCTGTGCACCCACATTCTTGGATTTCCACCCCACGCTTTGATAGCTGGTTTCCGTGMTGCTTCCCTAGTATTAACCGAAAAAGGTTAGTAATTGCCTAGCTTACTGAATGACACCCTAATACCAAGCACTTAGCAATTTGATAATTTATTGTGAGGAAAATTATTTGTTAATGACTGTCTTTTCTTGATCCATCGGTACCATTGTCCCTGGGGGACAGGTATGTGTAAATTGATTTTGCATCATCCAACAAAGGCAAGTCTATTTCCTTATTTTGCACTGTTTTGCAGCACAGTTAATTTTAGTGGTTAATTAATTTGCAAACAAAAGCAACCTACTTGAAGTTTTATTAGGCAGATTGCAAAATATTCTTGATTGTAARAAAATGAAATAATTTTTTAGAAATATCTTTGTTA